AGGGAGGAACTCTGCGCGTAAGAGCTGGGGTCCTGTGCAGCGTCCCTCGCGCGCCAGAGAGCTAGTGCCACGGGTCCTGCGGGGATTTGTTTAGTGGTCTGCTCTATTAATCTGAAAAAAAGCGCTTCTTACAAAGTGGTGACAGTAGAAAATGATGAATTAGTAAAGATCCATCCCGATAGGCTGCTTTGGATTGCTTGGTGGGTTCGTTTGAACAACATGCGTTTTAGCGCTGGCGGATTGGAGGAATTAAAAAAGAAAAGGTTCGTCACTCTTCATAAACTTGGGGATTTTATTGCTTTTCAGGCTTGTTCTGAGGAGACCCTGGCGCGGGGCTGGCACGTCTCATATACTGGGCAGAAATTACTTCTTAGTACTGGGATGTAGCTCCGTGAGAAGAACCACTGGGTGCTTGAGCAGGGGAACGCAACGGTTTGTGCCAGTCGTGAGGCCCTTAAGAGAAAACTGCTCTGTCCCGGTGTCCGTACTTCCCGTCCTTTCCAACTGCTGAGTTGTGGAAATGACTGTGAGGTCTCTGGAGCATCTGTGATAGTGGTATCTTTAATAAACTCAACCTCTTTGGTGTTTCATGGCCATTGGCAAGTATGATCTGTCAGTAGATGTGATCTGTGGGAGTGACCGTGGTGTTCTAGAGAAAGGTTGATCCACCAGATCTGGTGGCCCTTGGGGGACGACATGGACAGAACGATCCCAGAGCTGCGATGCTCTCTGGAAGCGGCCAGGGAGCTTCAGTGGCCACTTGGTCCTGGGGCGCGAGGGAGGGGAGGGCCAGGCCCGAGGGGTAGCTTCATGTTGGCTGCTCTGTGCTCTTGCTCCGGGTGAGGAGGAGAGGGGCTCTCCTGCCGTGTGAGAGCTAAACTGCTCAGAGGTAGGACTGGACCAGGCAGCAGAACTGAAAATGAGAGCCCCTCCATCTCCTCCTCGTGGTGCTGGCGCACAGGCAGCACAGAGAAGAAAACCTGCATGTTTCGAAATCTGATGAATAGATGAAGTAGATGAAGTAGATGAAGTAGATGAAGTAGATGAAGTAGATGAAGTAGATGAAATAGATGAAATAGATGAAATAGATGAATAGATGAAATAGATGAAGACTAAACTAGGAGGAAGTCAGGGTGTGCCAAGCCCGGGATTACGAATTGGCTGTGTCAGGACAGACCCGAGTCTGGGATTCCGGCCGCCTGGCAGCCTGGGGATCCGGGGATCCAGAAACTCTTTTTAGCCAGTGTCCTCTGATCTTTCTCAGCCTTCGCGTTCAGTTGGGAGAAAAGACTCATCCAGGGATGATGCTCCCATGGGGTGTCTCAAGGGCTGTGAGAGGATGTGGGAGCAAAACTCGTCTGCAGTTGCAGCCCTGAGCGGGGGAGAAAACCCACCACGGTGAGGACAAGGTGTGAGGACCAGCATTGGCAGTGGGAGGTCACAGACACGGAGCTTGGCCATTAAAGGGTCAATGTGACTCTGCCGGATGCAGTTCATTGCTTTTTATCTTTATTTATTAATCAAGAAGATTACACGTGCAGTGCAGCTTTTCTCATGTTCTCGTAATGCCCCTAAGAAATGGGAGGACCAGGCTGGCTGTGTCACCTTCTTCTTGCGTGAGTGCGTTATGGTTGGCTCATGGGCGTGCGCACCTGCCCCCTTCTGTCCGGTGTTCTCAGCTTACTTGGCTGCCAAAAAAGACAACGCTCACTGGCTCGTCGTTCACCACATGACTCCATTCTGTCCAAGCCCTTGCCTGAAGGCAAAGTTTTTAATTTGGAATATGGGCAGACTTTCTTACGGTGCTGTCTGCATGTGTTATAAACAGAAAATCTCTTTGCTAGCAGGTTTCCGAACCAGAGGGCAGGATGCCGTCCGTGTTCTATAGACTGTGATTTAAGGGATGAAAGACCTGTTGGAGAACCTTTGAAATACCTTTGCCCTCACAATAACTTTGAGACTGCAGATGTGATTTTTTTTTTTTCCCCTTGAGTACGTGGAGAACAAGGTGTTAAATCACTCTAAATGCAGCCCATGGAGTACCTGGATATATTTGAGTGTGTAATTTCTCTGCACATTAGACTTAGGAGATTTGCCTAGAAAATGGGAAGCATGAACTAGTGACTGCAGATGCAAAATCTGGCTTCTGAGGATTGCCGGGGTTTATATTGCAATTTTCTGGGAGAAAGCAGGTGGGTATTCAACTGAGAGATTGGGGTGCTTCCCAGATCTGACTCTCTTGCCTACATGTTTCAGATTTTCTAGCAGATGACACAGAGGGGCCTCCCTTGTTTTGCCTGTGGTGGCTCACGCCAGAGCAGGTCCAGCCGGTGCTCTCAGAAACACAGGAATCCTGTTGGAAAAGTGACTTGTGGTGGTGTTATCATAAAGCCCCGTGCATCAGAGGTCAGCACTGAGCTGAAGCCCTAAAATTTGCTAACCCCTGAGCTCCTCATTTTTCAAACTTGCTGATTTAATGTAATTTTATGGGCTACCTACGTAAAATCAGCAGTTTGAATTCTGGGTTAGACAGGATTATGAAGAAAGTTTATAAACCAAAGGCAGAATGAATTTGAAAACTTCTAAATAACTAGATTTGTATGAGGTGGAGAGGTTTTAATTTTAGTCTACATGTAAACTCTTGTAATAATATGGAACAAATGGTTATCAGTGATATTTTATTTGAGGAGTCCATAGCTTTGATCATAAGGGATGTATGGTCTCTAGTCTTTGATTTTTGGTTAATGAGCTATAAAAGTAGTAATCCTTGCTCTTATGCAGAATACTGCTTCACATGGCCGTTGTTTAAGGGGAACTGTTTGTACCATTTAGCAATTTTACCTTCCTGGCTGCTCTCTTCCACCCCGCCATCCACGTTTATCCTCCCCTCCAGCCCCAGCTTTATTTAAATAAACAGAGAGGACAAGGTGTCTTCCTCTCCCTCCACTCCTTAGTGTCTTCTCTGTTACCAGTTGTTTTTCTGAACTAAAATTTCCTTTCAAGAAGAGCGTGCGTGTCCGTTCACGTGTGCATCTAGGGTACACTTTAAGCTATGATGAAAAGAAGCCTACCTGGATCCTGTTGTTCATTGAAAATAAAGCAGAGCCAGTGGCCGCTGGAGGGAGTGCAGACTTCTCTCCCAGACTTTTCTCCCACGCAGTTCACTTGCCAGCATTCATTCAAAAAGTTCAAAGTGATTCAACTCTGTTTTCTTCGCGACAAAGCAGTCCTGTTGGTACTTAGCCCCTTCTCCTCTCCTCAGCCACTGCAGAGTGACCGTGCCAGCTCTGGTGCTGTTTTCGGTGACTTCTGTTACTGCTTACCTTCAGCTACTCCCCGAAGCTTGCCTGGCTCAGCACCTTGCTCCCTCCTTGCCTGCCAGTGGCTCTTTGTAGCAAGGCTCCTTGCCCTTCTAATCCCCAAAGCCTTTGAAGGGAACTGCTTTTTTCTACTTACATTTGCTTAACCGAGTCTTCCCTTGTGTGAGCCATGTCGGGACAGCCGGGTCAGCAGCAAGGGCAGGCACGGAGCTTGCACGCTTTTTTTACTCTGATGTCTCTTTCACAGGAGTTATTCAGCGCTGCACTGCTGTGAAGTACCACTACACCTCCAGCTCCTTGCCTCGCAACTTACCCATCAACATCACAAACACCATCCGGCAGGACGAGTGGCACGCGCTCCGTAAGTAGCCCAGAGCAGCGTACGGGACTGTTTGGGTCGCTCAGCGCCTTAATGCGATGCCACGGGAGGGCTCTGGATCCGCTGGCTGCCGCTGGGCTCAGGGGATAAATGCGTATTTGTTAGTGAGGAAGGGCAAGCAGCCGACAGTCTAACTGGAAAGGGGACGTGAGGTTTGGAGGCGCTTGAGCGGTGAATTCAGGAATACAGGCGTGTGTGGAGCGTGTTGCAAGGAGTGATCATGTTCTGGATCTGAGGACGGACGGTTCCTGGCTGACTTGCAGAAAAGGTGCCCTACGGTCTGCATAGATCTTGTTGTGTTTTTCTTGTTGTGTGCACACCAGCGACCTGGTGCAGCTCCCTGGCAACCAGCTCTTTTGGGGACCAGCTCAGTTTGTCTTTACAACCTCCTGTTACCAGTTCCTGGCCCACAAGCTGCTTCATGCCCAAGCCCTTCCCACACAGATGACTGGCCATAGCTTGTCACTGAGAACGATTTAGTCAGGTTTTTTGCTGATCCTGCTTCTCTCTGTGTTTGTTTTCTGTTCTATTTCCTCTCCTAATTCTGCCTAGCCCCTGTCATGTGAGCCTCACTGCTGAGGCCAGAGACTGAACTAGGAGGAGACAAGACCAGCACTTGCATTATGGATGACAAAATGCTGTTCATGTCACTGGTGCCCCAGCTTTTTTTTTAGAGCTTGTAACTGGAGTTGTTCCCATCCTCCTGTATCGATCTGCTCTCTGCTTCTGTCCTCCCACTGTTCCTCTTTTCGGTTCACACCATCTGCCTTCCATGTGCAGAATAGTAAAGGGCTACTTTTACTTCTCCTCAGCGTCCCCTCTCATATCTTTTATTTCTCTTTTTAGCAGACACTCGCCCAACAAACTCCATCCCAAAGAGACACACCACACATGTCCACAAAGCCCCTGTCATACTAACATTTACAAATTGGTTCCCAATTCGTAGTGCAGCCCTTCTGTCCCACGTTGAGGAGTATTTGGCTGGTATTCCTCTAGATCAGGACAGAAATGCGCTCTAGTTGTACAGCGCCCAGCAGAAGGGAGTCAAGTTACCCGAATTCCCTTAGTTTCAGTGTAACAGGCAAACTACCTCAAAGAAGCTGCAGGAGGAGGAGTCTACGGGTGAAGCACAAACTTCAGAGCGAGCAGATCTAAATCTTTCTGGACTCTCTCCTGGCTGTCCTGTCTGGGTGCCACCACCTTCATGTCTCTTTTCTCACTTTTCTCCTTTCTCTCTCCCCAGATCTGCGGAGGATGACCGCTGGCTTCATTGGCATGGCAGTCTCCATCATCCTGTTTGGGTGGATCATCGGTGTGCTGGGCTGCTGCAAGCAGCAGGAGCTCATGCAGTACGTGGCTGGGCTGCTCTTTCTAATGGGAGGTGAGGGCCTTTCACTTCTAGTCCTGAAGTCACCGCTGTCAGTAGTGCTGCCTGGGGAGGTGTGCTTAAATGTAGAGTCAGCACACAAAGCAGTTCCTTAGTGCAGCAAACCCGTCAGCACAGCGCAGCAGAGCTACAGCCTTCAGAACATGGCAGGCCCTGTGCTTGCGTGGATATTTGTGTGTTTTCAAGTAGCCCCCACTGCGTGTACAGGAGCCTTCGGCTCTGGAGAGCTGGTGCGTAGCCACAGGGACCATGTGCACAATGAGCACAGTCCTCTTGCCTGTGCCGAGTGTCTGGAGCCTGCGGCTCCTCTCGGACAGCTCAGCTCAGTTTTCCCTAGGGAATCTTAACAAACAAACAAGACGATGTAGAGCACCTTTCTGCTGCTCCAAGATCCTTCCATTTGTGGGTAGCAATGAGGTCCAAACACAGCCAAGCCTGGAGAACGTTGACCCAATGGTAAGGACATGAGTGCAGCGCTTACCAGGAGCAGACTTTCTGCATGGCCTAGGGTTTTTCTGAACTTTTTGATTGTTTAGCTCAATAGCTACTATTTGAAAGGGGCATAGTAGCAACACATGCACCAGAAGAGTGAGCTGCTGAGCTGCTTCCGGGATGGGGACTCTTAAATTGCAGGTGATGAATGGGTGACTTACAAGTATGAAAAGCAAGGCTCTACTTAAAAGCCAGCGGTGCTACCCTAGGGGCCCACTGTCAGCATCTGTGATGGCTGCAAGCAAGGAACTTGGTGGTACAACAGCATCTGTATCAGTTAAACAAGTAGGTGTGACGCTGGTCTGCTGCCACTTTGGGGTGGGGGGGAACCTCCCTTGCCATAAATGAGCCTTCTCAAGGCATGTTTTTGGGGAGCCGACAGAAAACCACCCTGCTGATATGATGTGATGCTGGAAAGGCTGGAAGTTAGGCCTGAGCTGTCTGGGATGGTCTCTTTTCTCGGGTAATTAGTGATAGAACTAGAGGGAATGGCTTCAAGCTTAAACAAGGTAGGTTTAGACTAGACACTAGGAAGAAGTTCTTCAAGGAAAGAGTTGTGGGATATTGGAACAGGCTGCCCAGGGAGGTGGTTGAGTCGCCATCCCTGGATGTGTTTAAGCATCGCTTGGATGTGGTGTTGCATGATATGGTCTAGGGGTGAACTTGTAGTGTAGGGTTAATGGTTGGACTCGATGATCCCAAGGGTCTTTTCCAACCTGGATGATTCTGTGGTTCTGTGGGATCACCTTGCGAGCTGCTGAGCTGCAGTGTCCTCTGGGAACATTTCCATTTCTTTATTGCACAGCAGCAAGTAAAGCCTTGTAGATGGAACAGGGAGCCTGGGTCCCTCCGGAGTGCTTCTGCGCTTACAGTGGCGGGTGTGCGGTCAGCAGTAGAGCCAGAGAGTAGGAAGTGACCACCTTGACCTTGAGTCCGGCACACAAGTGTATGTTAGACATACCAGTGCCTCGTGTTACACGTTTCTTCGGCTTTTTGGCTCCTCTGTGTAGGTGTTTAGTGAGCATGTAGCAGGTGACAAGAACCTGGGCATGTTCTACAGACGCCGGCTACAGCTGCCAGGAGTCTGGGAGTTCCTCGTAGGCCCCAAGCAGTGCTGCACTCTGCAGCCCCGGGCTTCGGCCGGCTACCTGCCACAGGAGCAGGTGCCCACATACTGTCCAGAACCTGCTGCACTAGTCGTTGACAATAAATAAAGTCTTGGGAGACTTGAAGCCTGATGAGCTAGCAACGGAGGGCGCTAAGGCAAGTGGTATCTGTGACATGGGGTATCCCGTAGTCCTATGTATTTTGCCTTTTTTTTTTTCCTCCCCTGTGCCCTGTAAGAAGAGTTACTGATAGGACAACAAAAAGGGGCTTGATTTTGAAAATCTAGTCTGAAACTACTTGGTGGAAAAAAACATTACTAACCAGTCTGAGGGCAGTGTGGAACCCTCTTGCTTTTCTCCTGCAGGTACGTGCTGTATCATCTCACTCTGCACATGCGTAGCTGGGATCAATTTTGAGTTGTCTCGCTACCCTCGCTATGTTTATGGGCTGCCCGAGGACATCAGTCATGGCTATGGCTGGTCCATGTTCTGTGCCTGGGGGGGCCTGGGCCTCACCCTGCTCGCTGGGTTCCTCTGCACATTGGCCCCTTCCCTCAACACGTCTCGGGCATCCGTACAAAAACCCAGACAAGAAAACGGGGCTGTGTGACCTCGGCGGGAGTGAGGAGAGACTCTGGAAAGCGCAGCCTGGGCAGAGCTGTGGGTTAACACCGGGAAGAGGCGGCGTGTCGGCGTGTGGAGAGCAGCGCCGCAGCGGTGGCGGGGCCAGCCTGCCCCGCGGGGTGCTGCTCCAGCCTCCAGCCGCGGACACAGACATTGCAAAGTAACTCCAGGTTTGACTTGTTGGCGATTTGCTCATTGATGGTTTAAGGGGGACAGTTCTTTTGATTTGTTTTTCTTCTGTTTACAGCAAATTAAGTCCAAGGCTGTGTCTTTTTCTTTTTTTTTTTTTTGTGCTGTTTTTTGAACTGTACCTCCATGGTCCTGTTATTGTCCAGTTGTAAGGGATGTTTACGCACCAACTCTATTGCTGCAGGTCTGTGTAATTCAGACCCAGGTTAGGGCAAGGAGCTACATGAAGTTGGCTTGAACACTTTTGCAACAGGTGTGTCTAGTGTTGGCTCAGGCCATCAATTCCCAAAAGAACCTTGATCTAAACTGAGGTTTAGGCCAAAGAATTAGCCCATTCTTAGTACAAATTCATCTGAATCGGAAATCTGTGCTATTCCACGCTGTGATATCAGCTATTTCCTCACTACTAAAGCTGTTTCCAAAAGGAGCTATGTGTGGCTGAGCAACAAGCCTCTAAAAAACTCTTTACTGGTTTCAGGAAAGGGGGCAGTTTTCCTCAGCTTCTTGCACAGGTGAGGCTACTCATTTGGCTAACTAACATGCCCTTCTTTTAGCCAGATGTTTGCACCACACGGCTTATAACTATTCCCGTAGAGTCAGGGTGGTTTTCTGGAAGCCTGTCCTAGCCTTGTCCTACCTTCACCCTGCAAATCACACGCGGGTGCACCTCCTGTTCTGTGAAAGGAGCTGAGCAGTTCTCCCCAGCTCAGACAGCAGCACTGCTGCAAGGGCAGGACATGGACAGCCCCCTCCAGCATCAACGTCCAAAGGAATCGCAGTGTATTTTCCTCAGGAACGCGTGGCTTCTGCCCGCTTCACCGCTCATCCCTCCCTAACGGCATGTGGAGAACACGCGTGCTCCGCTGGCACTAGCTCCCTCTCCGAAGCGGGCGGTAAGGACCTTGGAACCAGTGCAAGTGCTTGGGCTAGCTCAGGAACATCAGCCAAAGTACTTCAGGGTGCATTTTTTTTTTTTTCCTTTCATTGATGTTTTCTTTCTTCCCTCACATCCCCATACCTCTCCCAAGTGTCCAAAAAACTGCACAGGTAAAGATGAGATGGCCAGCATTTGAAGATGTTTACATTGTATTTAAAATACAATACAGTGGCATGTAAGATACTTAATGCTAAAGTCAGTGTATTTATGAAAAGTGTAATTTTTAAATGGAAGTTGTAATTCTCAACTGGCATTAAAAGTACTGAAAGATTTGTTCAGTAGATGAAACCTTGAATTCTTTCTGATTACCAGGCTAATTCACCAGAGAGCTCACGTACGTTTTGTCAGCAATGTTAAAGCTTCCAGAGTTACGTTTAAATGACAGAGTCAGAGCATCGTTCATGTGTGAATTGTGTTCACTTCCTTCTCCCTTGCAAAAGGAGTGTCAGTTCAAAAGTTTCAAAGGCTCTAACAAAGTCATTCCGTCTGTTCCCTGGCTGCACAGGTGAGGTGGGGGGATGCTGCTTGCGCTGCAGTTCGTGTGTCCCCCCTGGCCCCTTCTGCCTGCTCCAGACCTGGGAGAACAGCACCTGGACCTGGCTCTGGTCACGCGGTCCCTCAGCCCAGACCCGCCATGCCCACAGCCCTGGAACGCACCTGGACCCCGGCCCCTTCCCCGATCCAGCGGCCACGTGGAACCAAACGCAGAGACCGCCCCAGCCCCTCGGGACCCATCTCACCCACTCCCAGCCTGGAGCCTCTGCCTGCATCCCAGAGACCCCTGTGACCCTGTGGGACAGGCCACCTCAGGTGCTCAGCTGAATGCAGTGTAACCTGTGGGTCCTCATCCTGCAGCAGCAGCAGGGCAGGATCTAATCCAGGTCTAGCAGGAGGCAGCTCCAGAGGCAGCATGGTAGGCCCTGGGGAAAGGAGATTCTCGCCTTCCCTTCTGCAGATGCAGAACCACCAAGGGCATCAGCCCCAACACATCACGGATTTGTTTTCAGAGGGGAAAAAATGCTTTATTTTTTCCAGACAGAAAGTAAGCGGTACAGTCCAGTTTCATCCTATCCTCTGCCAAGCCCACAAACTTGACTGGGCCAAGATCAGGCGTAGTACTGCAGATTGGCTTTTTTCTTTGCTTGAACCTCCAGGATTCCTTCCATGTAGTCCTCATGGGTGAGCTCTGTAGCTCCCCGGCGGAGAGCAATCATCCCCTGCACAACAAGACAATATTTAGTGAGGGCATGAGGGCATCACATCAGCTCAAAGGACTCCATGCCACATCACATCAGACTCAAAGGACTTTTGCATTTCCCTCCCCTCGGTGCTGGCTGCTGTGGGTGAGCACTTACCGCTTCGACGCACACCGCCTTGCACTGGGCCCCGTTGAAATCATCTGTGCAGCGAGCCAGTTCTTCATAGTTCACATCAGGGCTGAGGTGGGGAGGGGAGGAGAGGGGCAACAGGGAGAAAGAAGTCTGAGAACAGGTATCAAATACAAAAAGCAGAGCACGGTGCTTCCTTAAAACCCACCAGTGAGCTCTCAACAAGAGAGCACCTACCGCTCACTCCACAGCCCTGGGGTCCCGCCGTAAGTGACTAACGCAGCCCCAGAAAGCCACATCTCTTCCATACCTGACGTTCATTTTGCGTGAATGGATCTGCATAATTCTGGCTCTGGCCTCCTCGTTAGGCATCGGGAACTCAATCTTGCGATCTAATCGTCCAGAACGGAGCAAAGCTGGGTCCAAGATATCAACCCGGTTGGTTGCAGCAATCACCTAAGCAGAAGTAGGGTCAGCAGTGTGACGCACCGAAGGAGAGGCCTCTCCTCCCCAAGACCCACCAAGCTTCTTCCCTGGACATTTTTGTCCATTTCCTGCTAAAGCACCACTCTCTGCTAGATCCCAACCTTGACTTGTGTGTTGGGCTGGAAACCATCAAGTTGATTAAGCAGCTCCAGCATGGTCCTTTGCACCTCCCGATCACCAGCCTTCTCGCTATCAAACCTGAGGAGGAAACAAGGGTGGAAGTACCTGCACATACCTCACCACCCTGCCCCTGTGTTTTTAATCACAGAAGGGAGAATGACTGCAGTCACACTCCTTGGAAAACATCTTCCAAAGTCCTCCTGGAAACTATGGGAAGCCCTGCCTTGACGAGAACCACATAGTAAACGAGGATGAACATCCCCACGCGCCTGATAGTTACCAGAAAATGGCTCTATACAGCTGGAGTCCACAAAAGCCCACATCTCAAGAACTTCGCTTGTGAACCCAGGGGTTGTGGCAACTCCTATCGATCTGTGAGTGGCTTTACACCATTTCTGAACACGCTGTGCTTTAAGCGAAGCTTCCCTCACACGCACAGGTGAAGGGAGCTGTTGGGCAGCTGCCAAGAGCTTTAAAACACGGCCCACGCCTCACCTTTTAGTGCCGATGGCATCCAGTTCGTCAATAAAGATGATGGAAGGAGCTTTTTCCTTGGCTAGAGCGAAGGCATCACGTACCAGCTTCGCTCCATCGCCAATGAACATCTGCACAAGCTGCGGACCTGCGAGCTTCAGGAAGGTGGCCTGCGAAGTGAAAGAGAATCCTACACCTCGTTTCCCAGTAGAGTCACTTCCAAGTACTACAAGACGCCCTTAATTAAAACAACCACACAAGCCAGCAGCCAAGAAAATCCCAGCCCTCGTAACACCAGTTTTTGTGTGTGTGTGAGCCTTCTCCCCTTGCAGGTGTTCTTACTCTTTCTCAGGTACTATGCGACACCCCCACACACTTTCAGAGGTTCCTTTTACCTTGGTCTGGGCGGCACACGCTCGCGCTAAAAGCGTCTTCCCTGTTCCTGGAGGCCCGTACATAAGGACTCCTTTGGGCGGCTGTATACCCAAGTTTTCAAATTTCTCCTTGTGATTCATCGGCAGGACAATGGCCTCCACCAGCTGCAGCAAAAGAAAAATATTCATACATAAACCCATTCCCCTCCACACATCCAGGCTCTCTGCTCTGAGCTGAAGTTAAAGGACTGTTGTCCTCAGTCAGAAAACTGAAGAAACTAAACAAAAAACATCACCTCTTGTATTTGTTTATCCAGCCCCCCAATGTCACTGTACTGCTCCGTGGGTCTCTCGTCCACCTCCATGGCTTTCACCCGTGAGTCGTATTCAGTCGGTAGAGTCTCCAGGATCAAGTAAGAGTCTTTGTTCACCCCCTGTAAACACAAGTTCTTTGCTTTAACAGCCCCTTCAGGCAGCAATTAACAAACACGCGATCAGAGATGATTTGCCAGGCCTCAGGATGCAGGAGTAATCAGCTCTGGCAGTGGCGCTCACTAAACCACCGGAGCCCGGCACCGTGGACACCACCACAGCTAACAACCTAGCGCATTTTTAAAGAGAGGAGTCGAATTTACTTACCATACCAAAGACTGGTCTTAGAAAGCTTACTAGGTGATATCTAAATTTTCAGCAGCTGATTCTATGTACAAAGAACATACACTCCAAACTACTTTCCTGTACTACAGTTATGACTGAACCCATAATACCCTTCTATTAACGTTTTTGTACAGAAACGGTCTTGGGGAAAGCTGGGCAGATTTGTGTCCTTTCCAATCAGCAAGACATATAGAGTTTTCTCTACATACTTAAGTGTGTCTCAACAGCATCACTCACCACTAGGTCTCCAGGCTTCAACTTCTCCGCATCAACCAACCCAATAACAGGCAGAAAATACGTCTGCGGGAAACAAATCAAAGACAGCAAAATCCATCCATGCTAGGGGAGGTTCCTTTTCAGCACTCCTCGCGCTTGGGTCTTACACACAGGTCTTACCTGGCGTGTCGAGGTCTTGATCACAGCACACTTGCCCTTTCTCTGGGAATCCAGGTCAATGTTTGCTCCATCCTCCTCCTGGTCATTGGGGTCAACATCCAGCAGCTGAAAACCAGAGGGGGGTGGATTTCACGACAGTGAAACCAGGCTAGCAGGATGACCCCAAGAGTAACTTCTACATTACGTGCAGGCGGAGAAATAAAACTTCCCATCATCCATCAGCAGTAGAATCCTGAAAGCATTAAAGCTCTCCTAGAAAAATGAATCTCTTCCTGTCCTCAGGAATTGGCACACAACAGCACAGAGGAAGACACTGTTGTGATCAGAACGAAGTAGCAGCTAACAGCACTGAT